TGTGCCCTGACCAGGGATTGACCTGGCAGCTTTTCAGTGCACAGGACAATGCCCATCCAACTGAGCCACACCAGCCAGGGCGAGATCTGTTATTTTTTAGTTTTGTCATTTGTCTCCTGTCTTAGAGGAAGCCAGTATCTACTGTCTGATATTAACCATTGTAAACATTTTTTAAAAACCCTCTTATTAGAAAGTATGGTATAAATTTTTAATTTTTTACCCTTTTTTTTTGTGAACTGAAAATGTACATGGACCCTAAAAGAAGTAAAGATTTTGTTTTACTTCTGTACTTTATTCTGTGTAAATTGCTTAGGTTTTAAAGTACACCAGGCACTGGTTTAGAGATACTTGTTCAACTCAGTTTACATGTGAATCCTAGTTTACTTTATTTATTATTATTTTTTTTTATATATTTTATTGATTTTTTACAGAGAGGAAAGGAGAGAGATAGAGAGCCAGAAACATCGATGAGAGAGAAACATCGATCAGCTGCCTCCTGCACATCTCCCAGTGGAGATGTGCCCGCAACCCAGGTACATGCCCCTGACTGGAATCAAACCTGGGACCTTTCAGTCCACAGGCCAACGCTCTATCCACTGAGCCAAACCGGTTTCGGCTGATTATGGTAGTTTTGTAGTATAACTTGAAATCTGGTATTGTGAGTCCTCCAACTTTGTTTTTCTTTCTGAAGATTGCTGCAGCTATTCGGGTCTTTTTTTACTTCATATAAATTTTTGGAGAATTTGTTCTAGCTCTGTGAAATATGCTGTTTTCATTTTACTAGGGATTGCATTGAATCTGTACATTGCTTTGGGTAGTATGGACATTTTAATGATGTTGATTCTGCCAGTCCATGAACACGGTATATTCTTCCACTTGTTTATATCTTCCTCTATCTCTTTTTTCAACATCTTCTATGACCTGTATGCATGCACATAAGCATAACCAATGGACACAGACACTAGGGGACCAAGGGCATGTGCTGGGGCGTGGAAGTGGCTGGGGTGCCTTTTTTTTGTAT